ATCAGACAACCATCCTGCCACCAACCTTTTGCTTTATTCTTTAGGGAAACTGTGCAGATGTCCCATTGAATTGTGGCTTCAAAGACTGCTGTATGCCATGGAGTTGAATGAACCCAACCGAGCAGAGGCAACCTGAGCCAGGTCTCCATTCACAGGGGACCTCTCTGGGCTGGAAGACCTCTGAGCAGCACTAAAAAGAAAGCACTGGAAATAGATGAAAGGGGTGGAGAATTGTGCTATTTCCAGTTGCCACTTGAGGATTCCATTGAGGATTAACTGTGGGGAATGTTTTAAAGAACACTGCCCATCCAAGTGCATTTGAATAATGAAGTTCTTAACACTTTTTTACTACTAACTTATGATATATTTCACATACCATACTATCCACTCATTTAAAATACAGTTCAGTGTTCATTTTTTTGTTTTGTATGTTTGTTTATATTCAGAGTTGTGCAATTACCACCATCAGCTAATTTGAGAGAACATTTTCTTCACCACCAAAAGAAACCCTATACCCACTGGCAATCATTCCCCATTCCTATGCCATGAACCGCACCTCCTGCCCCTCAACTTGGCAACCTCTGGGCCCTTTTCTGTCTCTAAAGACAGTCCTACTGTGGACATTTCATACCAGTGGAATCACACTCAGAGGCTAACACCACTCTCTGTATGATGTGTTCTAATTCACATATGTTCTTTCACTTGATTCTCAGGTCAGCCTGTGAGGTTGATAGAGCAGTCAAAGGTTGTCTCTAGAATCAGAAGATTGGAGCTCAGAAATGCAGGATAACTTTCCTAAGACCACCAGCTCCAGTAAGGGAGAGAGTTTAATTCAGTCTTGGGTCTTCTTGCTACAAACCCAACCTTAGTTTTGTTCTCCAAGTGCAAATGGTATGATTTTGAGTGTGGATTGGCTGGTCTAAAAAAAACAATAAAACCTTCTGGCATGCCAGGCAGGCTGGGCTGTCCAGTCAATGGTTCCCTGGCATGAGTGAGGTAACTTACAGGTTGCTGCTGTCTCATGGAGGATGACACAAGACCACCAGGAGAAGATAATGGGAACACACAAGCCAGAAAACAGGGAACTAGCCTGGCCATTGATATACTACATGACAGATCTGTCTCCCAGGTTAGTCCCACCCAACCAGTAAGACCGGCGTGGGTTGAGGTCTCCCTTCTATGTCTGGGACAGACACTCTTTCATGTGAGGCTGTCTGCCCTCTGACCTCATCCTGCACACTCACTCACCTGCTCTCCCTTTGTGCCTGCTGGAGTTCAGCCTGACTGTCTGAGGTGGTGCTGTTTACACTGCTGGTCCACAGCATCACAAGAAAAACTTTTAAGACAATGCCAGAGACCCACCCAAGACCCCATGCTTAGGAAAGGGACCTGACTGCACCCTGACAATCCTGTGGCAGAGCCAAACCACCACACTTGGCATAAATAGTAAGTCAGTTAAATGGGGCTTAGATATGCTGTAGCCAGACAGCCCAAAGTCTGCACTGCTCCTGGGCCCAGCTTTGGGGAACTATCAAATAAGACAACTGGGTAGAAAAAGAAAGAAGACACAATGATAGCGGAGCACAGCAAAAAGGATTATGTCCTTCTTGGCATTTTTTTCTCAGGCATTATGCCAGCAAGGACACCCACAATGGACACACTTTATGTTGGCGTTGTCAGCAAAGCTCAAATCAGTCTGGCTGGCTGTAAGCAGAATGGTTCCCACACAAGAGATGGTCTTCCACAGTGGCCAGGGATAGAAACAGGCCTGGGGATGCTGAGCCAGCTGAGGTTTGAATACTGGGGATGAGCAAGGGGCCACTAGCCACCACCCACTTGAACACCAGCTTTGCATGTATGAAAGTCACTATGTCCACCTCACACGAACTCAAAGTTCACCACAAGCCTGGCCTCTTGTTACTTTCTCTCTCCTAAGAAGTGAATATCCTCTGTTTCTGAGGCCTTCTTTTCTGTCCCTGGCCCTCCTCTTGAAGCCACACTTCCAGAAAGAGTGGTGGGCCAATATGCCTCTTCATCTCCTGGACCCATCTCTCTGGATCTGCTCAAAAAGCATGGCACTTTCTTAGGTTCTCTATGGAATCCAGCATTCTACAGACCTCCTTCCCAATGTCCCTGCCGTGCCTCCTCCCCTGAGCATCACCCTTGTAATGGAATCTGCATTTCATGAAGGATGGCTGTTCCTACCTTTTTGTATTACTTTGTCTTCATTTGTTTCCATTTTTTCCCCTTCCTTACCTTCTGTCCATGTGGCCTAGCCTCTCCATTGACTTTGAACACAAACTGTAGACACAGCATCTTCAAATCTTTAACTCTCACCCTTCCCTCAATTCTTGCTATAGTTTAGATACGATGTGGGTATTCCAAGGGCTCATGTGGTGGAAGCTTGGTCCCATGGTGTCAATGTGAAGAGGTAGTGGGACCTTTAAGGATAGGACAAATGGGAGGTCTTCTCCAAGCTCTGACTTCCTGTCTGTCCCTGATCTGTCTCTGTCATACATACTACCACCATGCTGCCACTGACCATGAGATACACTTCCAGGGGGCCTTTCTCCAGCCTCTAAAACTGTGACCTGAATAAACTTCTTTATAAGTGCCTGGCTTTGGGTATTTCTCTATAGTAATGGACAATAGCCTAACACAACTTCTGACCCATGGTTTCATGCTGTCAGCTGAATCACTCTCCCTTTCATGTGTTTGCCACCTCCTCAAACTCAGAAATCCTCAAAACCCACCTTCCTTTCTCCTGTACCGCTTCCTGATACACACATTGAGGACAGACAGTCCTCCCAGACAGCATTTCAACTAATCTCTCTCCTAAGGAAAACTCAAATTCACCCCTGTACCTTTCTCTTGACCCTTCTCACTCCTTGCTCTGTGTTACTGTCTGTAATAGTAATGTTAACAACAGGAACCACAATGATAGTGGCCAGCTACCATTCTGAAAACTTTCTGTGTATTAAAGTAACTGAACTTTCAATAATAACATTGGGGAATCCTCAGTTTATCTCCAGTACACCAATGAGTCAAATGGAATAGCTGACCCAAGGTTATATAGCTAAGTGTGGGCTCCAGAACCTGCCTTGGTGCTTGAGTAATGCCTTACTAAAAAGATAGTCCTTTGAAGGTAGGAGTAAAACTTCTGAGGGATTCAGTCTCCTTACTGTAGACCCAACACTACTGTAGGCGATGAATGTGTGAGCAGTTGTTTAGAAAGCTCATGAGTGTTGCATTATTCAGAAGCGTCATAAGGGACCCCATAGGAAAGGAGGAGGGGGGATGACCAAGAGCTAGGAACAGCCTAGCTTTGGGGGAAGGACATCGATCTCTCCTATCCTTTCTTGGTGAAGTTAGCACCATAATACTACCCCAAGGGCAAGAATGCCCACAAAACATACTTCCTGGAGGTTGTCTACACCTCCCCGAACAGTCATTATTTCAGGTCTTGGAAACCCAGTGCCTGCTCTCTGTAGTCAACCTGGACCTGACATTCCAGAGAGGTGCTGGGAAAGGTACCCATGTGTGAACTCCTGGGGCAACCAGTCAAGAAAAGGTGGCCCAGGAGTTGACAGAGACCAGAAAACCCATAGCAGACTGGTTATACATGGATAGTTGAGTGTTCTCTCCCCAAATCTTTCAATTATATACTCACATTTGTCCTTAGGAGTTTTTCCTCCTTTGATTGGTTTCTTTAAGAGGTGATCTAATAGTTACCAGGTTCTGAACCTCAGGGAAATTTCAGTGGGTGAGTAGATCATCATTTGGATGCAGACACACTTGACCTTGTACTGTGACATCTCCATTCTCTGGTGTACCCCAGCATCTCTGTGTGCTTGGTTCAGACAGCAGTGCCAGATGGCTCAGTAAATCAAAGATTCATACTTACACCAAAAGCTCCCAGAGATGGAGCCCGCTTCTACAAGTAGATTCCGCTATGCCCACATCTGTGGGGAGGTCACTCTGCACCAGGCCATTAAAGCGGTAACCTGGGGTCACCTGTATGCCCATATCTGGGAGCATGTCAAAGGCAGAGAGAAGGTCACGCATCCTCCAAACCAGGAGGCTAAGCATGTGACATCCGCTCATGCATAAGAGGTCCAGCAGCTCAAATCCGATGTCCTTCGGGTCCTTGTCACCTGCCTCATTCTCCACGAAACCATCTCCATAGCTCACACCTGCAACTCAGCAACTCCTTCCCAACACACTGCATTCTCTTCCACTGTTTCCCCATACCGGTCACTACACACACCAACATTATTCCTGTTGTTATGGAAATTCCCAACGGGCACGTAAGCAGAGAGAGCAGTACAGTTGCCTCCCATGTCACCGTGTACCCATGGCTTTATCTGCAACAAGGTCAACTTAAGGTCAATCCTGGGCCACTGATCCACTTTTTTGGTCTTTCTGTTTAGGAATGAGGAAGGGGGCAGGACTGTTGAACCTACTAATCTACATATACACATATCTAATGTATTTTTTTATTATTTCTCTTTTCTCCTAATTAGGATGAAATTAACACAAAACGCAGGAATTTTTGTGTGTTTTGTCACTGTGCGATATCCAAAGCATTGACTAGGGCCCAGCATATAGTTAGCACTCAGTAAACACTTGTTCAATAATGAAGGAATGCCCTTCTACCCAGGCTCATCAGACTTGGCTCCAGCTTCCACTGACTGAGGTCACATGTAAACAGTCACAGGTCCCTTGTCATGCCCCTCATCTCTAGGGGGAAAGTCAGTCACATCTTTACAATGGCGTTGACAAGTTCCTAGTGCTGACAGGATTTTACTAACTAGTCCCATAAGCAGAGAAGGCTAATATATGCTGGTCAACATTTCCAAAAAGCTACCCCACATGGCAAAGGATATTCAAGACACATTTGATGACTGTGTGTGTGTGAGTGAGTGAATGTGTGTGTGAGTGAGTGTGTGTTGTGTGTGTTTGTGTGATTTATTAAGCACAGGGAAATACACAATACTCACATGCAACCACGAAACCTAGTCAGGTCATTGTTTGGCTTCTCACACTCGATTACACTGGTGAACGTCAAAGGATCGAATTCAGAGACCTAAAATAATAGCACGATACATTAGAGAAATCTGGGCTCTGGCTGCTCTGTTCTAAAAGGCTCTTGTTTTTCTGTCTATCCATGGTAGGGACATTTCATAGAGGAAGAACTCTGCCTATGAACCTCTGCAGAATGCCAAGCCACACATGGTACTCAACCCATGCTTTCCCATTTTTATAACTAGTAAGAAAATAATCATTTTCTAATGAATAGCAACTAGTGGACCAGTACTGGTAAGTAAGTGAGCTGAAATGATTATAGCTTTAATGCAAAATAAAAGACTATGAAGTCATAGCAAGGAAAGCCACCAATGATGGAAAGGGGTTAGTGAGTTTTTGGGATTTATTTTTGGACACAGATCATCTCCTCCAATTTTTTCTTTATAGATTTAGAGCAGCAAATTATGAAAACATGAACTGATACTAAAATCCCATTTCCTCAAGGTACACTAAAAATTCTTCATGGATCTTTGCTGGAAAAGATTTAAACAGCCAATGTCAGCCAACAACTTCTTTATAATTCTGCTCAATTAAAACTGATGGCTCATTACAAAGGAAACATCTAATGTAGTGTTTGCCACTGATAGATGTTAACAGTACCTTGCTCCTGTGAAGAGATCAGAAGTAGGAGGAGGGAAGGGATGAACAAAGGAGGGATGTATAGGGAACGAGCCTTCAGTATACATAACTGAGCACAATTGGTGGATTTCTTTTTTATCGTCCCTCTGGTCAGGCTATCATTCTGTTTTTCATGTAAAACATGGAACTGTCTTCACTCGCACATGCATATCATCAGAAAAAAATGCAGTTGGCTAAATCACAGAAAGGGCATAAATACTGTGGACACCACTCCAGGTAATTATTTTCCCAAATCAACACATTAACCTGCACAGAATGCAGCCATAAAGGTAATAACTCAAAACTCAGACCTTACTGTTTTCTAGTGTATTGCGTACACTGAAAGGACTCCCTAGGCAATAGTAGTTCAGTGCAATGACTGAAACTGAAATGCTGTGTTTTAAAAAATTGTTTATTTTGCAGTGCTGGGGAGCAAACTTACTGCTTTGCATGTTGCTAGGCAAATGCTCTACCACCGAACTACAGCCCCAGCCCGTAGAATGCTATTTTAAAAGGCTCTTCTTGAAGTTTCTTAGCCATCAGTCCCTGTCCTTGGACTGGAATGGCCTTGCACTCTATTTACAGAGTGGGGCTGTGTTTCAGAGTCCTGAGTTTATTTAAAGCTGTGTGGATTATCTTGAAGCCAGTGGACTGCTTTTCCCAGGACAGACATTGGCAGATACAGAGTACAAGATGGCCATGAAGGGAGTGGGTTCCAAAGAACACCAGGGTTATTCTTGGCAGACAAGGAGGGTAGGACTTAAAATACTCTGTCTCTGTTTATTATTCTTTCTCTCTAAGAAAAATGTAATGTACACAGCTCAGGAACAGTAGGACATTCTGTCTCTAAGACATCAGAACTGCATTTGTGATGTTTTGCCATAATCACGTGCCGTAAGAAACGTGTGTGCCCAGGGCATGGGATGCCTGGCTTCATCCGGAATGGGGGCGGGAGGGGTGGGGAGGAGGAGTTTGAGAATTGGAGGCATCTTCAGAAACTTTGCTGAGCAGAATTATTCTCCCTTTCCCCTCAGAATTCATATGTTGAAGTCTTAACCCCCATTACACAGAATGTGTCTATATTTGGAGTTAGGGCCTTTATAGAAATAATCAAGCTAAAATGAGATCATGAGAGTGTGCCCTAATCCAACAGGATCCATGTCCTTATAAGAGGAAGAGAATAGGACACACAAACAATTAGAGGGATGATCATGTGACACGGGGAGAAGATGGCCAAGGAGAGAGAGCTCAGATGAAACCAACCCTGCTGACACCTTCAACTTGGACTTCCAGCTTCAATAACTGTGAGGAAACACACATCTATGATTTAAGCCTCCCAGGGTGTGGCAGTTCTGGCAAACGACACAGGGATTGTCTTCAATTTTCTCAAGTAAAAAGCCTTTTTTTTATTATTATTATTGTGTTCGGTGGGGGTACATTGTGGCATTTACAAAAGTTCTTACAATGTATCATACTTGAATTCAGCTCCTCCACCATTCTTCTTTATCCCTCTCTCCCCCATTCCTGGAATAATCAAAATAGGTCTCATCTTTCCATTTATACACATGTGCACACAGTATTTGCACCATATTCACCCTCCTACACCCTTTCCCCACATCCTTCCCTTCCCTCTCCCACTGATAACACCTCTCCCCGACCCCGAAGGACATGTTCTGTCCTCTTATTCTCCTATTTTGTAAAAGAAAAAAATGACATTTTTGCTTGTTTAAGATAACTACATAGGGAGTTTCCTTGTGGCACTTCCATGTCTACATGTATTATGGCCCGATTTGGTTCATCTCTATTTTTCTTCTTTCTACCTTAGTCCCTTTCTTATGGTGGTTTCAATTTGTTTAAAAATTCTGTACTCATTCTTGTATAGAAAGTACATCAACTATAGTCACCTTCTTGACTTCCTTCTTTTACCCTACCCCTCTCGTATGTGACCTCCCCTCAAGCATGACCTGTTTTTCATAATATTGCTGTATTTGTATTAGGTCTATATTCCACGTGTGAGAGAAAACATGTGGCTCTTAAAAAGCCTTTAACACCCAGAGCACACTTTTGAGATGAGGAAAATTCCATTGGTTTTTTTCTTACAATGGGTAACATGGTCATACTCTCCCATTGAAGAAATCTATTTATTTATCCTTTATCCATTCATCCATTTGCCCCATTCCAAATCACCTTCAAGGTCATTCCCTCATTATGCATCAGACAGATTTTTATCAACACTGTTCTCTCAGAGGACCGCAGTCAATCCTTCTGTGCTGTGCACACATTAACTTTATTTTTAAAAAGTAGATCCATTTGGGAACATTCTGAAGGAGGGCAGTGATGGTTGTGCATGATGTCAATGAACAATGACTTTGAACTATCCATGAAACTGGTTAACATGGTAAATTTTATGTACATTTTACCACAATAAAAGAATTTAAGCTGGGCACCGGTGGCTCACACCTATAATCCTAGATACTCAGGAAGCAGAGATCAGGCAAATAGTTTGAAAGACACAATCTCAAAGAAAACTCATCATAAAAATAGGGCTGGTGGAGTGGCTCAAGGTGAAGGCCTTGAGTTCAAACCCCAGTACTGCAAAAAATTTTTTAAAAAATTTTTAAAGCAGACACAAACATTGAGAAATGATTGTGAAAAAAAATGAATTAATCGTCAAGTAGCACATAGCCCAGAAATTTGGGACCTTTTAGGAAAAGTACAAAAAAGCCTCATGCATGAGTCACATTTTTTTTTTTTTTTTTGGTGCAGGGCCTTGCACACACTAAACATGTGCTCTTCCAGTGAGCTACACCCCCAGCCAGCACAAACAATTCTCAAGGCACCACTATACCACATTTCAGGTGTCCCTGGAACATTTTTATGAGTTTTTGACAGCTTGTTAAACGCCAGGCATTGTGCTATTTACAGCACTATCTTACAACACTGCAAACAATCGAGGATCATTAAGAACCATGTCCAAGGTCAAAGTGGCCTCAGAGAGACTGAATGACATGTTTTTGGCCTCTGAAACATCCAGTTCAGCCACTGAGACAATCTCGCCTTCCCAGGAAAAAGTATACCAGCCTAGGAAGACAAAGTATTCCAAAGAGTCTACAGAATTTCCAAAAGCACTCAAAATGCATTTTAAAGTTTAAATGTTTTCAAAAAACATGTTTCAGTTTGATGTTCCCTGGTCAGATGGTTGACACCCTTGTCCCACTGCAGGAGTGCCTGTGAATACAGATTTAACAAAACTGGGGTGAACAATCAAGAGCACTGGGATTTAGGTCTATGTCTTCTGAGTAGGATTTCTGCAAGTGAAGAGAAGGCATGTGGACTGGGACCCCTGGGTCCCTGAAAGCCCACAGATCCACAATTCTATCTGAGGCAGGATGGCACCTGTGATGACATTCACTATGAGTATGTGCTGCTCGCACACACAGGCCTGGGGTGGAAGCTACTGCCCTCTGCAGCTAGCCACAGAGCACGCCACTCATCTGGAACTAAATGCATGAGAGAGCTCACCCATGGCAGGGCATGCGTGTTCAAGTAAGCACCTTACCGATAATCAAATGTTTGCAATTTCTGTTATTCTCCTCCAGACATTTTTGAAGCTTCTCTGGATGAAATGATTTAGGTGGACCTTATTAGGTGGAAAGGAAGAGGCAGGGCAGTAAAGAAGCAGAGAGCCCTCCAGACCTGCCTTTTTGAACTTGCAATTCTGCTAGAAACTGCAGCAACCCAGAGAGCCATGTCACCAAAGTGGGTGATGCTCCCTTCCTCCAGGGATACGCAGAGCACTGAACACAGACCTCCCCTGGACGCTCTACACATTCTCAGGAACAGGTATCTGTACAGTTGCAGCAATCCCCTTTTCAGTCAAATGGGAAGGCACAAGTCTAATTCAGCAGTGCTCAGCTGATCATTGAATGAGTTCTGGATTTATAGGGAAGATTCTGTTACCATAGGAACAGATTCATAGAGCACATTCTGTTACAGTTTGGCCTTCTGTATCCACACATTCAACCAACCTCAGATTCAGCCAACCAAGGGCTGAAAATATTCAGGAAAAACTGCATCTTTACAGACTTTCCTTGTCACTAGTCCTTAAGCATTATAGTATGACTATTTATGTAACATTTACTTCGCTTTTGGTCTCATACATCATGAAGAGATGATTTAGGTATTCTGGAGGATGTGCATAGGTTATATACAAATATTATGTCCCCTTAAGGAGCTGAGCATCTGCAAATTTTGGAAACTTTGGAAGTGGGAGTCTTGGAGCCAACGCCCAAGAGATACCAAAGGAAGACTGTATTTCACATTTGCATTAATTGAATTACTCATAATTATTCAGTAAAAGCAAAGTGGATTTCCTTAATCTTA